CTATACAAGCAATAGTCTTCTGCACCATTTGATATGAGAAACTGATGAGAAGAAACCATGAAAACTCCAACTGAAAGTGGTGCATTAGTGTGGCATGTGGCAGGATGCTATGAGGTGGTACAATATGCCATCATTATTTACTTCAATACATTTTCGCAATAATTTCGCAAATTACGCTTCAATGAAAGCAGCAGAAGCGTAAACGGATATGTAATGATAGTGCAATACAAAAACAATGCCAAAGTGTGATACAAGTGCTGGAGTTGGTGTAAAAAGCAGAATTAAATGAAGAAATGAAGTAGTAAAGGCAGATGGTTGCTGTGCTTATATAACTCCTTCAAGCGGCAGAACAGACATAAATACATAGAATGAAACGTTGTAGGTAACGCGACACTCGAGTTGATGACATCCGGCATTACTATCAGTAGTGACAACTAGAAGGAAGTTGAGATTGTGTATACGAGTATATGTATGTGAGTGCGCAGTAGGGCATTCTTACCCAACTGATGAAAGTAGTTTTTATTCAGCGTTCTCTAGCTCTCTATTACCTTTTGGTACATCAGTGCGTATACGTAACCAAAATACAAAATAAAGTATGATATTATATAAATACTGATAAATGAGAATCAATACGATCTTTCAATCTTTTAGACTAAAAAAATTTTATATTTCTATACACCCTAACATGTATTGTCTTGGCAGCAGCAAATACAAAAGGAAAAATAGAACCGCTTGGATTTGTTGCCAAAGTTCTAAGTGGTGTTAGAAACATGTGAAAGAAAAACTATCTACGGAAAGTATAAACTGCTAAGCAATCAGCAGCGGAAGGTGTTACTAGAAAACAAGCAGCTCAAGTAGCACGCGCGTGCTGCTACCCATTGCGTGCAAGCTCTGTAGAGACACACACACTTTCCGGGAGCAGATTCTAAATGTTGCCTGCCTCACTTACCTACAAGCCTTGCAATAGCGGCGAAAATGTGCTGCAACCTTTTCTTATTGCTGAAATATTTCGCCAGTGTCCACCTCAAGTCACCGCACTCTCTATTTAACGGCCCAGCAGTTGACACTGTGTAATGTGATTTCGTGCTGCGTTGGTCTACTTAGAGCCATGACTTTTTTCACACGCCACCAGCAGCCAGCTCGTGCATTTAACTTCTTCATTAATTTATTTATGTGTAATGCACGTGCGATGCTGCACTCAATTGGAAGTGAAAAATAGTGTCCCAGATGCGGGATGAGCTTGAATGAGAAAGTGTACGACAGGATGTATGGAAGGATGCCAGCAGCATTACCTGCTTTTGGTGTAATTGTTGCTCGTGCTTCGGCGCTGCATAGTTGTCCTTTGGCCTCTTTATGTGTCTACAGATAAAGTTGTCGCACATTAGCCTTACATAGTGGGTGGTCCCTTTTGTGACAAACTAGTGATTTAAGTTGCGTGTGTTCACCTGTTGAATGGTGTAGAAAAGAAGAAAAGGGTTCCTGTGATTTTTTGTCCATTTTGTAGATAAAAACAGGTTGCGCTTTAATAATTGGGATGTTTCGGTGAGTAGTGCGTTGAATGAGGGAAATCTCGTTACTTTTGCTCGCAAATGTTTCATCATGTGTCATAGAATTGCTAATACTTTTCCTGCCACTCACTTTAAGGCCTTCGTTGGTAGTAAAATATGAAGTAGAAAAGGAAGTGAAGCCATGATGTATGCTAATGAGATGTCCCTAAAAGTGCGAGTCTGAATATTTAATAATCTTCTGTAAGTGCAATCTCGGCATGGGGAAAATTTTACAGCTTGTAATTCGCGTTAGATTTCGTAGAAATGAGACAAGAATTTTAAGCTATCGCAGTTTATTTAAAAGAAATAAAACGATTTCTTTCAATTTATAATTGTTCAGCAAGCTTTTCCGTATATGCTGTACCAGTATATACCATTACATCTATAAGACAAAAGTAGAGGTTTCCAGCGTACAGAGATTCATTCGAAAAAGAGAAAAAATAACAACTTCCAGCTCTCTCTACGAGCGTTTTATTTTTTAAAAGAGTGCAAAACCATGGTCAAACTTAAACTAAGTAAATTAAGCCAGTTGCCTTCCTGTTTTATATTCGTATTTATTTTAGTATGCCATAGACAGAAACATTACCCACCGAAATGTGCGGTATATTTTGCTTGCGATCTTCTTTGAAATACGTTCTTATGGTTGTGCGATAGCGACCGACCGGCGCGAACGGCGGTATAACTTGTCGATCGATGCGTACACCTTTCCAAAAATAGTTACCCTAAAAGCCATGATAAAGCGTTATTTATATTTTTAATTTTATACAAATGTGATTTATTTCTATTTTAAATAATTTATTTTAGTTTAATTTTTTATTGTTTCAATTTTATTTATTGAAGGCAATTTAATTTATTATAGTCTTTAATTTAGTTATTTTTTCTACATTTAATTTAGTATAATTTATTTATCTTCTTTAGTTGAAATGAATTTAATTAAATTCAATCCATTATGTTTGAATGTAAATTATTTTTAAATTTTTAATTTTTATATTTTATCTTCATATACTTTTTTATTATTTTGTTTTAATTTATAGTTATTTTATTTAATTTAATTTTCTAATACTTTTTAAGCTTATATCTTATTATCTCTTTAGTGCACCTTGTACATTTTGTACCACCTACTTTCTTTAATAAATTATTTTAATTTTCCTTCCTTTGCATTGTTTTATAACTCTTTATTTTATTTTATTTCTTTAATTATGTGAGTTATTTTTTTATATTTAAATATATTTGGCTTTAAGTTCAATAATTAGTTTACTTCATTTATTTTAATTTTTTTATTTAGTTTTAGTTTCATTAGTATATTTTAAGGTGAGTTAAACTTGTTATTTTCCATTTGATTGTATTCATTGAATTTAAGATAATTTATTATTATTTATATTAATCTGCTTTCACTTGTGACCTACATTTCATTTATGTACATTATAATATCTATTTAAATATGTTAGTGTATTTTTAGTTTTATATAGGTTTATTGTATAATTATTTTATTTTATTTTTTCATTTATCTTATTTCTCTATATTTATATTAATTTCAGTTTATTTTTTATAATTATATTTTATTTTATTACACTATATTTCATTTTATATCATTAATTTAATTTAATTTAATTTAATATAATTTTATTTTATTTTATTTTATTTTGTTTTATTCTATTTTATTTTATTTTATTTTATTTTATTTTATTTTATTTTATTTTATTTTATTTTATTTTATTTTATTTTATTTTATTTTACTTTATTTTATTTTATTTTATTTTATTTTATTTTATTTTATTTTATTTTATTTTATTTTATTTTATTTTATTTTATTTTATTTTATTTATTTTAATTTTATTTTATTTTATTTCAGCTAATTTTGTTTGATTTTTTTTATTTCATATTATTTTAATTTTTGTGTATGATTTTATTTTATTTGTTTTATTGTACTTTATTTTGTTTTAAATTAATTTATATTATTTTAATTTACTTACTGCTTGTTGATTCTTTACAACTCACCTCCACAACCGGACATTCTCTTGGCATATTGCCCTGTTTCCAATAAGTCTCGATCCAAACTTGCAGCAAATTGAGCTTGTCATTCGGATTCTTGCGTCCCAACAGACGACACACGTCAACGTCGAATTTAATCATTGTAGTATATTTATCCGTTTTCGCATCTCTTTTGGCCACAGCTATGATGACAAAAGGATCGTATGGATAATTGCGTTTGATATTTAGAAACACGTTGAAAGCTGTGCCATTTTTAATGATCTCCACCTCGTTGCTCGCTATATAAGTGTCGTTGAACTCCACCTCAGTTTTGGTGATAATCAGTTTCTGCAGAGCAGAAGAGAAGTGAAGGGCATATCAAATCGAAAGTCATTACTATTTTTTTTTTACCTTTTCACTTTGTACTATGCTCAAAAAGAGCGTTAAGATGACTAGGATTTCTAAAACAGACCTCATTTTGGAAACTTTTCGAAAGTAATAAAAGCTGAATTGTAAAGTAAACAAAGAATGTTGATTTTTCGTAATTATAAATATTAATATAAAATTATTCAATAGGCTGAATAGCATCTGGTGTGCTGATGTGTAAGTGATATTGTTTGCCTTTTGAGGCCATCCAGGGCAATCATTTGCTCATTAGCTGCTCGTTTGTGTAATTTTAACTGTGTAAATATATTTTACTTAAACCGATTGTTTACATTTTTTACTCTATTTAATTTCAAATTATAATTATTAAATAATGTTATTGCGTAGTACTTTAAAAATAATATTTAGGGTTATGATACGGTTCAAGATTTTCAAAAACATTTGGGTTTAAATTTGGTACTTTCAATCATTTCTATTATAGATTTCTTCAAACAGCAAAAATCCCAATTTTGTAACGAATCAGCAATGCCATACAGTCTTAATTTTGTCTTTTATTTTTAACATATGATATTTTCATCTGGCAAGAGAATCCCCACTAGGTGTTTTATGTAACTGAAAGGCCTCCTTAGCTAGATAAGAGACTTTGATTTTTGATTGGGAGTGAGGAATGTGTGCTGGCCGCAAGTTTCCTCTGCAGATCCCGATACTGGTCGCGCGATGATATCTAAGTGGCTGAGAGATACAGTTTAGGGCATAGCTAAGTTCAAATCTGAAGAGGTAAAGGTGCTAAAATAAACTTAAGAGTGATCCTGCGATTGGGATAAGGGAAGGTTAAGAGAATTTTTCACTGCTATAAGTATGAGTTCTTAGATGATTAAATTGGTTTTTTTAATTTTTACGACATTACAAAATATATATAATTTAACTTAGTATATTTATAATTGTATATTATGATATTCTAATGAGATTAAAATTGTAACGACTCATTGTTTGTTATTGAAATATCCACTACAGCGTAATGGAATGTATTATAAGGGAGAAAAATTCTTCACATTTTGTATTCAGACACCACCAGCTCATTGAATTAAGTCAAAGTAAATGCATTTGCGCATCGACACATGGGTTTCCTCACCAACCCAAATGCTCTTTTGCATTGTCTGCTGCCACGTTTATGCTGGTGCTCAGGCGGCGCGTTATCAAGGCGCAGGTAAGTCATGCATTTTAATGAATTTGCCAATTAATTCATTTACATAAAATACAGATGCTTTGCATATTTACACATTTGGCTTCATTGAGTGCTCTTATGCAAGGCATACGCATGAATATCAGTAATTTCCATTAATGGCATCACACGCAAATATTATCTTCACTTACATTACATTTTTATATTGCCTTTATTCGATCTGCCATTCAGCTTTGCAGCGTGGCGTTCGCTTCCTCTACGCTCACATGACATATAACCACGCCTATTTACATAATCTCACCACCAACATTACGAACGACACTTTGAATATTGATATGTGGTTGTTGAAGGACATCGTGCAGGGCTTTATGACGAAGTTCGATGTACACATCAATCTCTCGGCCGATAAGAAACGCTTTCAAAGCATCTTCAGCTACACGGTGGACATCTGTCGGATCATGAATAATTTATCGCATATTAATTTGTTGCGTGCGTGGATGCTCAATGTGGTGAAGTTTAGTAATTTGAAGACAAATTGCCCACTGGAAGCGGTGTGTAGTGGTTTTGGATTTGTTTTTCCGAATTTTTCTGCAATTGAGATGTTGTAAATTATTTATTTTATTTTAAGGATCACTATTATATTAGAAACTTTGTAGTGGAGAAGGGAAGTATTCCAGCTTATTTGCAAGCGGGCAACTATCGCATCAACACGCACCACTATTTTGTGAGGAAGAGGAGTAAGAAAGAGATTGCAGTGGGTGATTTTGTTGCCGATTTGGAGATATACTGAGCTCTAAGCCATGTTCTGGATCGGAAAGTATATTTGGTTGAAATAAAAGCTGCATTAAATGTTAAAAATTGGCTTTGTTTGAAGCTTAGACTTTTGCTAAATAAGATGAATAAAAGCTGTGAAAGCAGATTTCAGCTAAAAACGGAGATAAAGGCTAGCAATAGACTTTCATTAAAAAAGTGATACTGGCAGTGACCAAAACTAATATTTGGAGTGAGATTAATTACGAGACTAGGGTCCAAACTGCCACTGAGGCTAAAGGTAATACAAATATAAAATCAAAGACGGAAGCAAAGGCAGGTACAGGGACAAGGAGAGACACAGAGACTAGGAGAAAAACTTTAAGAAAAGCACCGGCAGCGTTAGAAAATAGGACAGAAAACTAAGACAAGAGGTTAGGGCTCGAAATAAACAGGCCTGACGCTGAGCATAACTCAAGGTTAGACCAACATTTTGGTTAATATGAAACTAAGCTGCCGATACTGGGACTGAATCATTGAAGCAACCTTGAAACTGGGGTGAAGATTGATTTGAAGCTAAAGCCAATATAATCCCCAGACTTACACTTAGACGTTGCAATACTAGTTTTGAGTTCCATGCAGAGATAGAGTCTAATAAAACTCTGAAATACTAATTAAGGTGGTTAAGTGAGCGCTGAGACTTATCTAGGTCTAATATATGAGGATGAGATTAAATAAGTTAAAGTGTAAAGTTAACATTGTAGATTTAATTGAGAAGGAATTGAGCCTAAGGTCGGCGGAGAGTGTCACACTAATGGAACGCTAAGATTCTGACAAAGTGATAGTTTGCCAAATGTCGAAATTGCTGCGAAAGCCTTAGTAAGACGAAGAAAGCAAATTGATGAAGACACAAAATAAAACAACACTAAATTTACAATTGAGATCGAGTTTAAAAACACAAATAAAGAGACTATCAAACAGCATATAAACTATTACTTACGAATTTCGAGTTAAGTCCGTGACATTTAGCTAAACCAATCCTGACACATTGCCAAGACCCAATCAGGAATTGAGATGAAAATAAGAAAAGTAGTACAGTTTTGTTTTATATTTTTCAAATCATGAACAATTTTGTGATTTAATTTGCGTTGTAAACTTTTCAAATCACATTTGTTTCCAACTGAACTTCCGTTACCAAATCCATGCCTCTCTTCCTATAAGGTCCATTATAGATAATGACAATAATGTTATAATCTCCAGGGTAGAGGTATTTTGGAAAAAGCGAAGCATCTAATTTCCAACCTTTCAAATAATAACGATCCGGATTGAAAGGACAATTCTCCATAAAGTTGCTATACTTCATCAAACTTCGATACCAACTCTTCAGAAAATGATCTTTCAGCGCTATAATAGTACCACAAATATCGATGTCGAAGAAGAATAAAGATTGATAACGCTTAGAATTCGCGATGCGCAGCTGAAACTCCAAATGACAACGAACGCCGGGATCCAGACGACGAATGAGTTGGAACTCGGTGTACAGGGTACCATTGACGATTTCAACGCTATGATTGGATATATAACGATGAGTGCTACGTGATTGCACCGATTTGAAGAGAACCTCAGAAATCTGACGGCGCGAGAGAAGAAATGGCAGAGTTAAAGTGCGGAATTGTTTAAGTCAGAAAGAGTCTTACTTACACCCACAGTGTGTGATGTGAATTCTATTAGCAGCAGCACGGAAATAATTATGAGTTTGGCCGGCGAGGTCATTTTGCTAACTGAAAAAATGCCCCTTTTTCGTTTAAATGGAAAATTAAATTTTCTATTTTTTTTTGTATTTAATTTTCCAATTATTATTTATAAAAAAATGTTTTTTATTTTAACTTCTATAAATAAATATTTATGTAAATATGTATATTTTATTTGTATTTTGCAATTATCTTGTAATAGTATCATACCAAAATTGTAAATCTCTCATTAAAAAATATAAGCTCATTTGCGATACATACATACATAAATGCAGACATACAGACATAATTACCTTTATAATCATAATTACTAATTTTTTTAATCTAAGTAACCGCCAAATTCTCGCCAATTAAACAGTAAACGCTGATTATGGCCAATAATTCGAATAAACGAGGCGCGAAAATTTATATTTGAACAAAAAGCGAAAAGTTGCTTTTGCAAAAAATAGCTATAAAATTATAATTTGCTTGTCATAACGAATCGTATTGGAAACACGCACGAATGTGTCGGAAAAATCAATTACTTTTTAGTATTGTTTTAGCGCTGTTGTTGCTTTTGTTGCATATGCAAGAGAGCTATGGACGAAAGGTGGGTGTGAAATATAATATATTCAGTTAAATAAAAAAATTAAAAAAAAAATAAATTAATAATTTAAATTAGAAAAACATTATAAAAATCATTTAAATTCTTCACATTTAATAAAAGTGTTAATTTCGAATTCAATTTATAGAATGAATAATTATTTAGTAGTTATTATTATTGATTGAAATTCCACGCTTACCCTACTACCACTTTCAGAGATTTAAAGCGCTACTCTTTCGCCGCTTCGAATTATATTCCAATCCAAAATATGTGGATGATTTCTACGGCAATATTAGCGCCGATCGTACAGCCTTGAATGTGTCCATGACTCAGATAACTTCCGTGCCGGTTGATTACTGGTTGGGTGTGGGTATTTCATTTAGGCAAAGAGCCGCTAAGAAATACCGTTCGATTGTCTCTTTCAATGTGAATGTTTGCAACTTACTACGTAATGAGCTGAATCAACAGAGCTTGATTCACATATGGATGAACAATTTATTGAAGTACAGTAATATGCCACGCTCGTGTCCTTGGAAAGCGGTAAGTGAAAAGACTTAACATTTTTTCTATAATGCAGTGGTGCGTACTGTCAATCGGATGGTCATGGTTGGAGTTCCGGTTGGACCAACAGCCAAGAAAAATATGATAGAAAATAAATTTAAAACAAGAAAGGGGATGTCATGCCATGTCATGAACTTTTTTTCCTCGTTTTTTTAATTTTTTTTTTTTTACTACACAAATTTCATTCTCATTTTTAATGTTAGTTTACATTTGCTCAAATGTTTTTGTATTTGGTTTTTTTAATTATTTGATTTGCTTATTAATTTGTACAGGGCTCGTACTACTGGCGAGGCTTACGTCCAGAAGAGGGAAGCATTCCTCAATTCTTATCGGCCGGTGTATATCGCATTGATTCTAAATTTTATTTGAAAGAATTAAATAATGCTCTCTTTGCAAATGTGACATTATATTTTGAAGTTCAAACAAATTAATAAAAAAATATAAGGGATATGAGTTTCAATTGACATTCAGTATCTGCTATATCGACACTGAATCAGTGAATCAGATACAAACCTTTTCATATAGGTATATGGATCTTAAAGCTTTTTATTTGTCCTAATTTTTGGTTTAAAATTATACATATATTTTATATGTTTTTTAACTTACATATGATGTCCCACTGTAAACGAGACTGTAAATTTTTTTATTATTTTTGTTTAGAAAAATGCTTCTTAAATAAAGATTCTGAGGTAATGGTTACTTTGAATTTTTTCCTTACAAATACTTGTCCCATGGAAAACGAGACTAATGAAGTAATGTATAAGAAATTGGTGGACCAATATCTGTGATCAGCCCAAGGATTTCTGTAGCTACATCTACCTGGCTAAATTATAGTTTTATAGCATAATATTAGATTTTATTAATAATAATAATAATAATAATAATAATAATAATAATAATAATAATAATAATAATAATAATAATAATAATAATAATAATAATAATAATAATAATAATAATAATAATAATAATAATAATAATAATAATAATAATAATAATAATAATAATAATAATAAAAAAAATAGTAATAATGGAGAGAGTATACATATAAAATCATCATAATCTGTGCACTTTACAGCAAGAACTGGAAAGACTGTAAAATTTGGTCAATTGCTAAGAATTTTCATTTAACTTTACAACGTTGAGCAAAATCGAAGAGACATTTTTTTGGTAATCCCGAGTTTGAGAATTGACTGAAAGTCTTTACTGAGGTCTGAAAAATATAGTTTAGAATAAAATGATTTCATTTAACGCAATTCAAATGGTTTCATTTACGAAACGACTCTCAAGTTCCTGGTAAAAAGGTTTTTTTTCCTGGAAGGTCTCACTATAGCTCAACAAAACAAAAATAATAATTTGGGTCGCTAGAAAAATATCATTTGGCTCTACATTTCAAAGGAGCGCTAAATAATAACAATCATCAAAAGACTAGAAGAACTATCAACATCGTACACAAAGGCTTTTTTATGATAATACATTACAAGGACCAGCTGTTCCATACAAAACTTTTATTAGAAACATTGAGTTGATCTTGGAAATTCCTCCTTTCTCTCGCTTTTTCGTCTAAATGCTTCCCTGGTCGATGAAAGTGCGCTGTAGAGAAAGCTTCTAATGACTGCGCTTACATTTACGATTTATCGATCCGATATGTAAATATATTTAAAATTTGTATAAATTTATATATTGACTTGCAACTCTGCTAATCTAGGAAATTTATCAAAAGTAGCCCAATTATAAATCAATAAATAAGCTAACGATTATAAAGTAATTCAAAAATATTAACCAAAGTAGTTTTCAAATATTCATACCTTGAAGTCCATTTAGCGCGTAACTCGAAGTAGATCACACCGAAACTGAATTGAGTTGGTTAAACAAAAAAACAATTCCAAGAGAATGTGTAAATTGAATAAAATAAATTCACTTTTATTACTTGCACTTGCTCTTGGAATAAGAAGCAGCAAAGGGGCAGGAAAAAGTGTAAGAAAGTTTTTCCAAAATAGTTTTTCACAGTACTTATGCTTGGACTTTGCAGAAGCTACGCTATCTGTATTACCGCAACATCACCTACACCTACAACCCACACTATTTTGAGAGTGTGAATATGTATACAACAGATAATTCGGAGTCCATACAAATAAAATTGGCTGTCGCACAAAATATTACCAAGGAAATTTGGTTAGATTTCTTGGTGTCGATGAAACCGTTAAATGCTGTCAAGTTTCAAAAAGTTTTCAGTTTCAATTTAAATGGCTGTGGATTGTTGAAGCGCTCTTCGGGACCTGGTGGCTTTGATATTGTAAAGAGATGGGCGAGTAATTTGCTGAATAGTGGATCTACACCGCTATCTTTTCCAGTCTTGAAGGTTTAATAAAAAAATCATTAATTTTTCTCAGTAAATTACTTTTGACTATGTTTTGTCCTCCTCTTCTTCCTCAGAACAACTACTCTTGGACTATATACCCATCGAAGAAATATGGCGTACATATTCTGCAAATGGAAGGCTTATATCGTATGACTTGCAATATGTATTTGAAACGCGCTAAACGTACCGAAAAACTGCTCAACACTAGTACTGTATCCGAACTCCTATATAAGTACAAATAAATGAGGTTATGTTTGTACAAGTAAATGTATGAGCAGTGTGCAAATCAAGGAGGTTTTTCATTAAAACGTCACAGTTGTTGGGATTGGATTTTATGAAAAAATAATAAAATAAAATAAAAGAAAATACCAAAAAAATGTAAATAAAATAAATAAAAAAAATATTAGAAATAATAAAGAAAATTAATTTTAAAATGGATTTAAAAACAAAAATATTAAAATTATCTTCACCACCTTCTTTAATTCAAAGATGAAGCCTACATTCAAGCGCTCAATGAAATATTTTAGCGAGGACTCGCACCTTCATTTAAAAAAAGTTCTTAAGTTTTTAAAAGTACTTAAATAAACTGAAGATTCGTTATATAAGAGTATTAAATTGCATTCAAATATTAGTGCAACTCTCAGTATGTCTTAAACATAAATTCACGTACGACTTTAAGGCATTTCCCTAAATTCCCAGCAACTGAACAGTCTGATAGCATTAAGTGAAAGGATATGTATACGAGTCAGTAAGACTCTTCTAACAAAAAAAGCAAAGAATTTGACAGATTAAAGCCAAGTCAAAGTCAAAATCAAAGCCAACTTGGACAGACTGGCAGACTGAGAGCAAGGAAAGAGATTGCAAGTGATTGAAAATAAAGGCTGTCGCTGTTGGAGATTAAGAAACATTGAATGATAAATATAGGAACGAATGACTCAATGATTGTGGAATGGGCGTGCATAGTAGGCGCACGAACTGTCGAAAAAAGCCGCAAATAGAGTTGCAACATTTTTTGGTAGGCACAACCAGTGCTGCAGGCGCTCATTTGGAATGCAGGACAACGTGTCTATGTTTACATTGCGGATGCAGCGTTTACTCGTCATGTAAGGCAGCAAAACAATTGCCGATGTAATACCAACGAACAGGAAGACACAAAAAAAGGAAGAGGATTGCAAAGAGGGGATTTTGTGACAAAAAGTGTATAACGGTATAGTAACATAGTTGTTGCAGGCATACACTTTTGCATGTATGTATATAGATAAATATATATATAGACATTTGCGCATTGCAAAAACATTTTATTGTACCGTTTTTCCGCCCTTCCGCCAGCCAGACAAGCGATTAGTTGATTTCGTTTGGTCAAGTAGGCAACCAAATGCGATTTACCAAGTCGATAGACATTCGAAAAATAGTTCGGACCACACGAAAAATGCATGGGATATTTTAGCTTGGATATGGGGAGTTGCATATGAGAGGTTTGGGCGGCCTACCCAGCAACAAAAACAGTAATAACAAC